AATAATAAAATTTATTTATATCCCGCCCTCCCCAGCCAAAGCTGGGCTCAGGGCGGCTAACAACAATCAAAATAGTCCAACATTCTAAAAACATTCATTATAAAATTAATTAAATCAAATTAAAAATCAAATTAATGGCAACCATCAAGCAAAATTCTGTGCAGATTGCCAGAGGAGGGGGTCAGGCTGCGCCCTGACCAAAGGCCTGGTGGAACAGCTCTGTCTTGCAGGCCCTGCGGAAGGATGTCAGGTCCTGCAGGGCCGTAGTCTCTTGTGACAGAGCGTTCCACCAGATTGGAGCCGCGGCCGAGAAAGCCCTGGCTCTAGTTGAGGCCAGCCTAACCTCTCTGTGGCCTGGGATCTTTAGGATGTTTTTATTTGCAGACCGTAAATTTCTCTGTGGGACATACCAGGAGAGGCGGTCCCGTAGGTACGAGGGTCCTAGGCCGTATAGGGCTTTAAAGGTTAAAACCAGCACCTTAACCTGATCCTGTACTCCACCGGGAGCCAGTGCAGCTGGTATAGTACCGGATGGATATGATCTTGCAGCGAAGACCCCATAAGGAGTCTCGCCGCGGCGTTCTGCACCCGCTGGAGTTTCTGGGTCAGTCTCAAGGGCAGCCCCATGTAGAGCGAGTTACAATAATCCAGTCTGGAGGTGACCGTCGCGTGGATCACAGTGGCTAGGTCAGGGAGAGAGAGAGATAAGGAGCCAACTGCTTAGCTTGGCGGAGATGAAAAAATGCCGCCTTTGTTATAGCTGTAATCTGCGCCTCCATAGAGAGGGAGGTATCGAAGATTACACCCAAACTCTTAACGGACGATGCTGGCACTAATTGCACCCCCGCAAGAGATGGGAGTTGCCCCCTCAGTCCCATATCGCTCCGTCCCAGCCAGAGGACCTCTGTCTTCGAAGGATTTAACTTCAACTGGCTCCCATGTAACCATCCAGCCACAGCTTCCAGACATCTGCTCAGTGTATCTGGGGCCGAGTCAGGATGGCCGTCCATCAACAGATAGAGTTGGGTGTCATCGGCATACTGATGGCAACCCACCCCAAAACTCCAGACAAGCTGGGCGAGGGGGCGCATAAAGATGTTAAAAAGCATCGGGGAGAGAATCGCACCCTGAGGCACACACCAAGGAGTGGCGCGATGACAATTCCCCCCCAAGCGCCACCCTCTGTCCCCGACCAGAGAGAAACGAGCGCAGCCATTGAAGGACTGTGCCCTGGATCCCCACGTCGGCAAGGCGGTGGTCCAGGAGTTCGTGATCGACCATGTCGAAGGCTGCTGACAGGTCTAGAAGAATCAGCAGCCCCGACCCGCCTCGATCCAGCTACCTGCGGAGATCATCTGTTAGGGCGACCAGAGCCGTCTCGGTCCCATGACCAGCATGGAAGCCGGACTGGAATGGATCGAAATGGATCGAAATATCCCATTAACTCTAGTGGCTCTAGCAGCGTGAAGAGAATGTCGTCTGAAAACATTGGACACAGCTGAGATTAGAAGAGCAAGTATAACACCCACAACTTTGGGAAAGAAAGGAATGTAATAGATGCATAGCCAGAGCTTACAGATATCACGCTATGGGCACATGGGAAGTCCCAGTTGATATGCATTTGAATAGCAAGCGCATGATGTCTGTTTCTGCCCTGAGCTGCATAACTGGCATACAATGGTACCTCAGGTTACATACGCTTCAGGTTACAGACACTTCAGGTTACAGACTCCGCTAACCCAGAAATATTACCTCGGGTTAAGAACTTTGCTTCAGGATGAGAACAGAAATCGTACTCCAGCGGCCCAGCGGGAGAAGGAGGCCCCATTAGCTAAAGTGGTGCTTCAGGTTAAGAACAGTTTCAGGTTAAGAACGGACCTCTGGAACGAATTAAGTACTTAACAAGAGGTACCACTGTACTTCTTTCCATCACAAGATTTGGGCTGACTAAGGATCATGCTCCACCTTAAATCATAGTTGCAAAAGTATCTAGCATTTAAATTTGCGGTAGTGCCTTCTACGGAGGACAGTCAGTACTTTAATAAGGCCTCTGAAATACAAGACCTAATACAAACCAGCCTCTATAAACTAGACTGAAGCACAAGTTAAGTAAAAGCCTCTACCTGTGGACTTCCCTTAGCTTAGGCAAAATACTGGACTAATTAGGCCTCAACAGAGCTCTTAAGTTCCCCTTTCCTTCTTGGGCCTAGCACATGTTAAATGTTACCATGTGACGTAGTCAGGTCCTGGGAACCACTTTTTCCATGGATTCATTCCACAGTTCATAAATAAGATGGGCAGAGCCAATCATGCATATCTTTAACATGTAATCATAGACTCTGGATTCTGCCCACAGACTATTTTGTGTCAAAGGCCTGCACCTTTGACACTACCTACAGGGAGGTTGTAGACCTTTAAATGGTACAGCTTCAACATGGGGTGTACCTACATGCCTCCCATGACACAGATGTAATGGTTAAAAAGTAAGCCTACAATTTCATCTAGAACAAGAAAGCAGTGTGTTATTTGCGGAACTTTGCATGAAAAATGTTTCAAAATATTACATGGGTATCATTGCACTTTTGAAACACTGAGAATATCATCGTATCACTCAAAAGGCCATTAGGGCTTAATTTCACCACTAATAGCAGATTATGAGAGCACTTTTCCTAGCAGCGGGCTATCCTGTAATTGTCTACTATGCATTTAGTTGCATATTCACTCAAGCATTTGATAATGATCACTGCTGGCGACAGGCTGCTGAACTCAAAATGGAACACTATTCTGGTTTACTATGATCCTAATTACAACAAACTGTAAATACAGGCAGACATTGTATTTAGCTAAATCAAGTATGGGGGGGGGGAGGGGCGCAAAGGAAAAACATCCCAGAATAAGCATTTTGTGAAGCATCCTTGGTACTGAATAAACCTTGCAGAAGCAGTAAGCACTGATTAGGTTAAAAAATGTATACCTTTGAAAATGTAACAAGTTTATTACTTTAGCCCAGGAAGCAGCATAGATTCTGGTTGAGAATCAGACAATGAATGGTTAATACCATCCAAGGCCATCACCAAGTTTAATTTATGGACTTATTTATAATTTCCCATTGTATGAAATATGTATGCAGGAGCATGTAATATCTGTGGCTTTAGAGACATTAATCTGCCCACATTTAAGCTTCTAACAGGTTAAAGTGCTGCCTTGGTTCTCTGGTGGCAGGCGGGTGCGAGGTGGGGTGGGTGAGACTCAACACATACAGTTTAAAGGGATGAATAATTTACCTACCTGCATTTGTGGCTTCTATTTTAATGGAGCTATTATTTATTCTGTGAAATGACATGATTCACTTTTTACAAGATTAAAATATATCAGCTCTCTTTCAGTAAAAAGATCTTCTAATGTGACTGACAGGGATATAAATATGCTAACCTACATCAAGAACGTGGCTCTAATCTCCAAGAAAACTCAGCAACATGACCAGATTTTTTAAAATAAAAAAGCAGTTTTATACATTTCTTTGCCAGGCTCTTGAGACCACAGCTTCATTTCAGTTTTTTGCTCGCTCTCTCTTACTCTTCGCCTAGGGTATATGCTGATATTGGTGTCTGTAGGCTTAGAAGTGAAAATAGGACAGCAAGCACTGGGCCTTGTGTTCCCTAAGTGCCTCTTACGTTTAAGTCAAACCCTGGCTGCAAGTAAGTAACAACTGATGCAACAGGAAAAAACAACCATTCTACTCAAGGGATGCAGTCCTACAAAGATATGTATGCCCAATTGCTTAGATAGCTGATGAAATGAATATGAGCAACAAAATGCAACGACTTGTCCTTTAGTGGTACCAGCAGCACAAAAGAAAGATTAAAAGATCACCCACAGCCAAGAAGTGTAAAAAAAAAAGTTTAGAAAATAGGAACATGTACCGAAGAGAATATAATGCAAGGATATAGAAAATATTTACTCTCCTGAGCAACTTTTGCATTCACTATAGTTTCAGGTAACTCATACTAATCGGTTAGTAGAGCCAGTGCAGTGTGATAGCTGGACTATATCATATTTTGACCAAGTAGATCAAAGCACAAATCCTAACTTAGCCAACAACCTCACTGGATAACTTCGGATAATCACCTCTCACTTTATTCTAGGCATCTACCTGAACCTTAAGATCTTCTTCAGAAGCCGTTCCATGAGTGCTTCCACCAAATGAAATGAGCTAAATAAACAGCAGGGAGAGGGCCTTTGCAGTAGTGGCACTTGAAGAGGGAGCATCACCACTTCATACATCCTCACTGGCTGGCAACCAGGATTTGGATTGCCCTCTAAGTTAATAAATAAATAAGCTACCCCTGCCTGCCACACTCTAAAGCAGGGTTGCACAACCTGCAGCCTTCCAGATGTTGTTGGACTATACCTCCCATAATCCCTGATCACCGGCTATGCTGGTTGGGGCTGATGGGAGTCCAGAAACATCTGGAGGGCCACAGGTGGTGCACCCCTGCTCTAAAGGAATCACTAACTGGCTAGCTTCTTTGTATTCAACACTAGGTTAAATTAGTCTCTCTCTCTCTCTCTCTCTCTCTCTCTCTCTCTCTCTCTCACACACACACACACACACACACACACACACTTTTAAAGAAAATAAGGACTAATTGTGTTTTCCTCATTTATGGACCAATTGCAGTGCATTAGCATTATGTGATCATTTTTAGAAAGGTGCACAAAGTTCTAACCGTATCCTCAAGCGGCACTCAACAATGCACTAGTGAAGGCCACTGTAACACGGTAATGATAAATTTAAACACATGACTTCAAAGAAACAGTTATGGACACCAATAAATTCCCCATTTAGTGAATTAGAGGACGTATTCTGTCATCTTTACGAAGTTATCCCAACAAAGAACAACGTTAACCTTTGGCAGCCTTGAATACGGAAAACTGGGTGACATGTTATACATTATCTTAGCATCAATCATAGAGCAGACCTTCATCTATTATGTTACCTCATTAGCTGTGTTGTGAGTTCCAACAATTCTGATAAAAGATGCTGCTTGTCTGTCAAAAGTTATTACTTGCCAAGATCTGCAAGAGAAATCAGAAGGACAAAGAAAATTAACAATCACACGAACAGCACAATCATAACTTTGTTTACTATGTACCCTACTGAATTCAGTGGGGCTTACTCTTAGGACTGGTCATGTTGTTCAGATGCCTGATTATCGTCTTCCAAAGCAACTACTGTATTCCCAACTTAAGAATGGAAAGTGAAATGCCAGTGGACAACAAAAGAGGTTTAAAGACACTTTCAAGGCAAATCTAAATAAAATGCAGTGTAAGCATGGTTAATTGGGAAACACTGGCCTGAGGGCGCTCCAATTGGAGAATAGCCTGTACCAAAGGTGTCATGGACTTTGAAGAAGCATAAACTCAGGACGAAAGGGGAAAACAAGCTAAGAGGAAGACACATTTGGCAAATCCTCACCGTGAACAACTCCCACCCAGAAACCTATTTCCCCACTGTTGAAGGATGTGTGGATCCAGAATTGGCCTCCACAGTCACTTACAGACACATTGTTAACACCATATTCATGGAAGACAATCTTAGTCAGCTACGAGTGATTGCTAAAGAAGAAGAGAAGACTCCTAGGTAAGTGAGGTTAGGATTCAGTGCATAGTCAGACTACGGAATATGCTCCCACAAGATGCAATGATGCCAACAAAGAGAAGATTAGACAAATTTATAGAGGATAGGGCTAGCAGTTGCTGTGCTCCACCTCTATTGCCAGATATAATATGCCTCTGAATGTCAGTTGCTAGGAAACACAAATGGGGAAAGTGCTGTTGCTTCTGAGCTTGTTGGCCACTGTGAAAACAGGTTGTTGGACTAAATGGCCTGTGGCCTGATCAAGCAGGGCTCTCTTTATGTGCTTATCAGGGCAGACGAAAGAAAATTGTTTGAGATGTGTGCTTTTTTCAATTCAAAGAGAAAAACAAAGCAATTAGGGCATTTCCCTTCTAATAGTGATTTAATTACATGTTTACATATTGATATTCAGTATGCTTTTTAATTTATTCAGTGTCTGAGTCACCTTTATATGGGATACTCAAGGAGACTTACAAACATAAAAAAAATACAAAAGAAGGTAAAACCCTTAGAACAGTTTAAAAATTGAGCAATATAGCATCACTTTATGCTATGTGACATTATTCTGCAACTAGTAGGCTGGGACACAAGTGAGAAGCGCTTGACATCAGATGAACCAGTGCCACCACCACTTTCTTTTTGTAGTTCTTTAATTTACAAAACAATAAAGGAAAAGAAACAAACTACCAGATTCAAAGGAGGACATGGAGTTTTGCTTCTCTAATACTTGTACTGCACAGGCAATTTCAGAAAGCGCACCTTTTCTTACCCCACAGAGCAGGCTGCACTTGTTGAAATTGGCACTTCTCTATAACTGCAAAAGAGGCCGGAGCCCTGCTGTCCTCCACTGTATCTGGTCCTCCGAGAGGGACATTGTGGAAAATAATAAACAGGGCCCTATGTTGTGAGGCTCTAGAAACATCTGGCTGGCTGCTAGGAAGCAGTATGCTATACTAGATGGATTTTTATCTGGTCCAATAACTCAATGCTTTAAGATTTCTGTACAGTTTTTAAAGGAAGGAAGGAAAACTGTAGTTGTAAGTGGATTACAGTATGCTTTAGTTTTAATAATTAATTTTATTTGTATGCCACCTTTCCATAGTTAAAACCATACTCGAGGCGGCTTACAACATGAAAAAATGTGCATAATTACAAACATAACAAAAGTAGTCATAAACAATAAAATTCATCAAAAAGTAAACCACCAAACTGAACATTTCCCACATAAATCTAAAAATATATAAAAATAAAGATACAAAAAATTAATACCAACAACAACCCCTCTCCCAAGTGTAATTTCTTACACTATAAAAGGCCCACATAAAGCAAGGCAATTTGATGAACCCATTTATTATCACCAAACAGGACACAGAAATAAAATCTGGATGACTTCATATAACATCATTCCTTCAATACTTTGGATTAATGCTTTATCGGATTAGTGTTTTTCCCTCTTGAACTCAACTTGAACATCAGATTAAAAAAAGCACCAAACTGACTTCTTACAAACTAGATTACAGCAATAAAGAATAAAAGAAACGATTAAAAAAAACCCCCAGATAAGATGACCTTCTGGATAAGGGGTTAGAAATTCAGATTACATCACAAAAACATTTAGAATAGCCTTGTATACTATTAATTAGCAGAAAGGACCAGAACAACACCTGTCTATTACAATTGCTGTATAATTTGAGCAGGAGTATCGACCTGTTACAGAGCTTAAATAATGTTTTAGTTGATCCAGGTGAACTTGTTCCATTAGTTGGGCATCACTCTATACTTATTTAAATCAATTCTTATGGGCTTAGCAGAAAGTGCTTACAGTCACACAAGTCAGCAGCACCTGGTTTCTGTCCAAAGCAGTCCTCTTTGCTGTGCCCCTTTCTGTTCTGGAGCGTCCCACAACCCTCCCAAGTAGCTGAGCTTTTATGAGTAGAAGGGTCAACAAACACTGCACAAATGGAAGAGCTTTCCACAAAGGCACAGCTTCCCTGCATATAACCCAATGTAATCCGCCTCATTCTAAAGTTAATTTACACCAGCTTTAAGAAGACATTCTCTGGTAATTTTGGTAGTCTTATTGCTTATTTAGATAAGACTTGAGCAGGTTTGCTTGAGAAGCATCTTATGTGGGAGAATATGGCATGTCTATACCACCTCAACTTTTCCCTCCTGGGACAAAAAAATGTAGAAACAGCTGCTAATTTAAAAAGTCCAATTTGCAAGTGGCTTTTCTGATATGGTTACTGCCGCAGTATTGTTTTCCTGCATTAGTTTCCATTGCTTGCACAAGAAAGCCAAGTTAATTCAGGGGCCCCTGAGACACAAATAAGACTGTGCCCATTGGCTCTGAACACTGACTAAGAGAGTTTTAGCTTTCATTGCAGATCTCCACCCAAGAAGAGAATAAGCAATGAAGGCTGTCATCTGTCATATTAAGTGAAGACTTGAATGCGTCAGCAGAAGGATACAACTGACATTAAGAGGCTTTGATCAAATGGAGTATCTTTACTGAATATTGCAATGATAACCCTTCAGAAGTTTGCCTCCTGCAGTTGACCTTACAACTGCCTCCATCATTTGGGAGAGTCCATATGATCAGGAACACTGCAATCTTCTTCTGAATCTTACATATGTCATGGCAAAGAATGCAAGCTGTGATTTTGAGAACAAGGATGCAAATTTTACTATGGGATTATATTGATTGTGTATTTGCTATACACAATATCTATAAGACACCCACACACACTCCAGAAGTATTTACTCGTGTTACTTTTGGCCTAGGAGATTTGTAAATTCTAACTGGGAGACTGGAAAATTCAGATGACTGACAGCAAGCATTCAGGGACCAGTTGTGAGCTCTGGTGAGGCCTGATGAATTGAATTCAACAGGAAATGTTACAAATAAAAGATGGAACATTCTCCTACCTTTAAGAGTTTCTGCTCTGTGCTACTTTGGTCCAGGAATATTCATTAACAATTAGAAATGGTTGCTGGCCTTAGTAAAAGCAACCTGATAGATAATAGCAGATTATTATAACCTGCAACAGGTCCAAGTTAAATACATAGCAAGTTAAGGGTGGGGAGAAATCAAACATACTTCCACAGGTTCTAACAAGTAGCTTTGTTACCAAGGCTTACCATTCACACAGTACTCTGCTGAAATTGCCCCTGGAAGCTGTTAAGTGCATATTTTCTCACTCCAGCATCACAACATGAATTACTGCTAGAAAACGAACCCAATTTTCTTGCGGCAGTAATTTTTTATTTTTAGTAATGCCAAGAAATCTCAGCAAGGACCATTGGCCCTCCTGAGTAAGATGATATAAATGAATGGAAGACTAAGAAAGAAATATAGCACTGATACATATACACAAAAACACAGGCATTATAATGGGGGGGGGGGGAATATAATCATTACTTCCAGCTGAGGCTTACATCTTGAAGAAAAGGCCTGGTACCAGCAGCCTATACTTAGGCTTGCATGAGGGTCCTCAAGCTGAAAGGCAACAGTGCATGCTGCTTGGCCAGCAAAGTCCCCTGGTGCCACAGCTTCATCTCTTAAAAGAAATTAGCCTTGTTATAGCCCTAGGGGTGTTATTTAATACTCCATATCTCACCTCAGCCATCCCCTCCCAACTTTCTCGTTCTGCCTGAGTCCCCCAAGGAGAGCTGTAATTGATGATTAGCATTCCAAAGCCATGCTTGCATCCTGTGAGCCCGTCATATTTAATTACATTTTAACTATATTCGTCTTCAATAATAGCCTGAACATAATTTAGATAATTATCTCACGCTCTCTCATTCTCAGAGCCTGTCTGTTCCAGAGCTTCCTGCGACGAATATTGCTTTCTCTGCTCAAACACATAAACAGACTCTTGGGCTAAGTACTTTCATCTTTCCAACAGCAACAGCTGTCACTAAGAAACTCAGTAGCTTTGAGCATCCCACAGTCAATTCAAAGGCAAGTTTTCATCCTTCTTCTTGCTCCTTTATTTTGGAGGCAGAGGGAAGGGAAAATACATTATTGCTCAGGATACAAATTGCCTATATTACAGGCACCCCCCTCCCACTTACACATGGGTTCTGTTCCAGGCGCCCACACACGAGTTGAAATCGTGTAAAATGGGGAGCAACCTCTAAAAAGCCTCTAAATGCTCATTTTGTCCTGCTCTCCAATCCCCCCCCCCCGAACTCAACTCTCCCTTCAACCAGAGTTGAAGCTCTGGGGCCAGTAGGAGGATGAAGGATGTACAGGAAAGCACCTGCTACTGCTGGGCTATCCCACACATCAGCTGTTACGCAGGGAGGCTGAGCAGCTGAAACAAAACCCCATTGCACCTCCAGTGTCTTTGGGGCTTCCTCCGCCCTCAGTGATGTCCTCCTCAGCCACAAGGACTCTTCAGGTCTCTCCTGCCACTTCCTGGTATGATTCCAT